CTGCCTTCCTCCTGCACATGTTTGTGTTTGTATCTTGGATCTTCAATGAGGCTATAAATTCCTTTGAGGGATGCCTTAGACAACACTGTTCACCTTGGTTGGCCTTAGTTTTCCTTACTGTAGGATGGCCGATGAGGAGGTTGAACTGGACCATCTCCAGTGTGAAATAGTCTGTGATTCCAGCATCTTCACAGACTCCCCCATGGGCAGCACAGAACTGTCCAGGTAGTAGAATCTCAATGACGTAATCTGTTGGGTGGCAAATGGTTGCGGAGTAAACAGAGTACAGATGAATGGGGGTGGTTTCTAAGGCCACGTTTATGAACAATAGCCGGCCTGTTTAGAAGAGAAAAATGCTGGCGAAAACACCTCATCGGGAAATCTAAACGTTCTTGGTAAACAAGCCTTAGGCGATCTAAGAGCAAAAGAACTTGTTACTGAAGTTAGTTTGATTTTTGCTTAAATATCGATATTTATCATAAAGCACATCAAATGAAAATGGAGGCCAGAGTCTCCTAGGTACCTTACAATTCTGTGACCACGATCATATTGTTTGTTACAAACGTCCTTCCCCAATTTTCTACCTCTCAGATCTTACTCACTCCTCAAGCATCAGCTCAAATATCTCATAAAGAAACTTCAGCTGGTTCTTCTTGATGTTTTCATTGTCTTCTGTGCTCTCCCAAAGTGTGTTGTCTGTCTTTTCCATGTACTCCTCGTTTTACTCTGCTATACATGATAGTTTATCATGTGTATCTGCCTTCTTCACCCCAGGGCAAACTCCTCCAAAGTGGGAATCTTGTCATAATCTCCTTTGTCTCTGTCAAGCACCCAGGACAATGCCTGGTCCATAGTAGGCATTTGATCAATGTTTATTGAATTGGATTAAATTATAGATTTTACATCAGCAAAATGATCCATTTCACCTGTGAAGTACTTAACCACTGTCAAAAGAGTTTTACATATAAAGCTTCCCATAAATGAGACAATGAAAAAATATGGCTCAGCTCAATCTTTGGGTTCCCTTTGTGAATATATTGAGCTCTAATGCCAGTTACTCGGCCTCTTGAAGGACATATATAAATTACTTAAAGAGGAAGAAGAAAAAAAAAATTGAAAGTAGGTGCTAACTCTCAGAATTTAAAATGATTGTAAGGTTAGAGCTTAATATATTTTATTATCTGGGCAGTTTTTTTCCCCAGATATTTACTGTGAGGTCTCCTCTTGGCTATGAGATTTATGTTGATATTAGAAAGTACAATTCTGCTGGACATGCTCATAGGTCCATGATATATGTGTGTGTCAAGAACCTGGGTAGTTATAGCATTAAACATTGAGACAGTCCATGGTTTGGGGAGCAGTGTTGGTTATTTTATTTTATTTTTTTAATCCTCATCCGAGGACATTCTTTGCATTTATCTTCAGATAGAGCAGGAGGGAGAGAGGGAGGAAGAGAAAGAGGGAGAAACATTGATACAAGAGAGACATATCGAGTGCCTGGGACCGGGGACAAACTGCAACTGAGGTACGTGTCCTTAGCGGGAACCGAACCCGGGACTCTCTGTTCGACGGGCCGATGCTCTAACTGCTGAGCCAAACTGGCCAGGGCCTGGTTATTTTATTTTAAAATAAGGAGGCAAATGATATTTTTTTTCTCTTCTCATTTAAAATCAACTTTCAAAACGCAGAAAGAAGACTTCCGCAAAACTGAAGGCACAGAGTCAGAACGTCTTCTTCCAGAGCTTCTGATTAGAAACCATTTGCTGAGCAGTCCCGTGGGGCAATGAGGGCTAGTGGCAAGGTGCTGGACACTCACAGGGCTGGAGCGGGGGTGACAGCATGCTCAGTTGTGGCACTGCCAAGCAATGGCACTAGGAATCAGGTACACAGCAGGGTGGGGGGCAGGTGTCACAGCAGGTGGGCTGAAGAAGGCTAATCTCAGGTGGGTAGCTTGGGCATGTTGTCTCCAAATTGACAGCACACATCTGGGAGCAGATGGCGGAGACAAGGCCAGTGGGGACACGGCAGCATCCTTGGAGACAAGACTCACAGCAAGACATGGTGATGGTGGATCAGGTGGATTTTTGTTGCAGAGGGAGGTTTTATTCTGCAAAGTCATCCTCTGTGGGTCTTTTATATCTGCCTGTGTCAGGAAACATGCTGCCGTCGTCAGAATGTTTCCTTGTTGTTTGTATAATCCCAACCTTGTTCTTTACCAGCTATTATTTTGTTGTGTTGCTACATTCAAACTTGCTTCATGTTGCAATTTCAAAACGGTGTTAGTAGGTTCTCCACTTACTCAATGACAGGTCAATACATCGGTGTTACTCTGACTTTTCTCGTTTTTTAACCAGCCAGAATTTGTTCTTACAAATGATTACTTCTGAGTGTATAGAATCAAGAGTGATTTCCCTGAAGGTAAAAAAGGATCCCTCTTGAAATGTGTGCCCTGGATTTATTTGAGAAGTCAAAAGCTGGGGGGCTTTTACCCTACCAGATTCACCTTGCTATCTTTATATGGTCTTGAGGGAGTGAATGAATATTGAAGATAAGCAATATGATCTTGATTAGGAAGTGCAGAGCCTGCTAGATTATCCTTTATACCAACCCACTGCATTATCTATATGTACAATTATGTATAAATATAAATAAGCACCCAGTTTTACAAAGGATGTTGATTTTTTTAAGCACAAATTGGAACCTATTAACAATAGCTTTGTGAGATTATATATGGTCTGAAAAGCGAGCTTGGACCCCTTTGCAAAACAGCATGAAAAGTTCTTTCTTTTCAGAAAAACCAAACTGCTGACCTGCTTATTCCATTTTTCAAAACCAGTGCCAAAGCTGATAAGCATCTCCTATCAAGCAGACAGGTATCTTTCAGTCAGTTATAGTGTTAATACGTATGGTTAAAGCTAGTATGTAATTACAGTGAAGGAGACTGATCAGCAAGTCCATTCATTATAAGTATTTATTGACTATCTAACATATTCTGAAGAGTGTGGTAGAGATAAGACATGGTCCCTGTCCTCTAGGAGTGTGCAGCCGGATGGAAAAGGTTAGAAATCTTTTTTTTTTAATCCTCAACCGAGAACATTTTTGCATTTATCTTTAGATAGAGCAGGAGGGAGGGAGGGAGGAAGAGAGAGAGAGAGAGAAACATGGATGTAAGAGAGACACATCAAGTGGTCGCCACCCACACAACCCCAATCAGGGCTGGGGACAAACTGCAACTGAGGAACGTGCCCTTAGCGGGAACTGAACCCAGGTCTCTCTGGTCCGTGGGCCAATGCTCTAACCACTGAGCAAAACCGGCCAGGGCAGGTTAGAAATCTTTTTGTGTATGATTCAAACAACATAAATAATCAATGTGGTAATGGAAGGAGTTTCAGAGCTAGATTTGAATGCCAAGTATAATTTACATGCCGTGAGACCTAGATCAAGTTATTTAACCTCTTTGGGCTTCAGTTTTCTCAACTGCAAATTTGGAAAAGAATAATAATCATCTGCTATAGTTTTCATGCAAGAGTTAAGTAAAGATTAAATGAGAATTACTTATGCAAATTGTTTAGCACTGGGTGTGGCACAATCTAGTTATCCAATCAATGGTAGTCTGTCCTCTGGATACTGTGAGAATTTCCACGGGAGGAAATACAATGACAGAGGGCTAACATGATCAAAGAGACTTCATGGAGGATTCGGGTCAAGTTGTTTTGATCAGAAATGAGGAAGCTGGGAGCCAGTGTGCGGCAGTGATGGTGAGTCTCTGCCTGTGTCTGCAGTGCTGCTGTGGATGCTTCGAGTCGTTTGATTCTCACAGTGACCCTGGGACATAAACAGAGAAGAGAGTATCGTTTCTGCTGTAATAATGAGGAAACAGAGGCTGAGAGGGAAGTGAGTGGCCCAAGGACCCAAGGCAAATCCAAGAAAATAAATCACTAGACGGCATTCTGGGACCTTTCTGCAAAAATCTTACTGCACTTGGATTTTTCCAGGACAGCCAAGGAGATGAATTAATGGTCAGCATAAAATTTTGTAGGAGGAAAGATGTGTTTTTACTCCCATAATTGTATGGCTATTTCTGGTGTATGGAGAAGACCGCGCTGTAGTCTGATGTTTCAGTTTATTTCAATGCCATGCTATTATATGTCATTTGGACTAGTAAACTTCTAAATATAGTTATGACTAATGGAAGCCACGCCTAATCTGAAGAAACAAGGGATACCCAATAAATATTCATTCCAAATGGATTTTCCTAGAAGATAACATATATAAATAAATGTATATGAGAAATATACATATATTTTTTTCAACCAAAATTTCATAGTATTTTTGAACTTGGAATATCATTGATGACTATGACTAAAGGAGTCAAAATTATTTCTACACACTAGCAAAGCGATCAATTTGTTTCATCAGTTAAGGAAGAAAGAAAAATCACTTTTAGGGGTAATGAAAATTAAAATAAATAAAATATATTTAAAACATATTAATCTCTGGACTCTAGCATAGGGCTTGGTGCAGTGGTTGTCTTAAAAAATATTTATTGAATGAAAAGATTCCACAAAATGACCTACTGAAATTTTTACTTTTTAACCTACCACAAAGAGCCAGTGTCTAACTTTCAATGATTCCACCATGAAAGCTCTCATTCTGCGGGGGGCACATCTCGGGGAGCAGGATGGCCTGCTGCTCAGGTCTAGGTAAGCACTCTGCTTTCCCTAAGAGGGAACATGGACGGAATCATCACAAAGCCGTATTTGCTAAGCCAGAATGAAGTTTATTAATGAGTCCAAATGGTTATTTCTCAGAGAGCAGTGAAATAGCCTGAAAGATAGAAAAAAAAGTCCCCAACTCTCCCCAATGGAGGAAAGAATGAAGAAGCTGGACTGGTTCACGAAAGCATGGCCCAGGGCCTCGGGACAGAGTGAGCCCGCTGTAGACAGCAGTGAGAGACAGGGCTGGGTGACGGGTACAAGGCTGAGTAGCTCATCCCTGTGCAGAGACCTGGCTGCTTAACAGCAGGGCTCACAGGGACTCTCACAGCAGGACTGAACGTAGGTCGTCAGGTTGATCCCACACAGCCCGGGAGTCGGGTGGCAAGAGTTGAGCAGCCAGCAAGTTGGCACGTAGGTGTCAGGCATACAGCAGGGTGGGGGGCAGGTGTCACAGCAGGTGGGCTGAAGGAGGCTGATGTCGTGCGGGCAGGTGCTGGGCAGGCAGACTCCACAGCGGCAGCATTTGTCAGAAGAGCAGATGGTGGTGGCGGGGCCGGTGGGGACGCTGCAGCAGCAGGGGACACAGCAAGCCATGGTGTCCAGACTTGGGTTTTTGTCAGATTGAGGAGAGGAGTCTCTGGTGTCTCAATGCTTCTCTCTTCTGCTCTGGCTCTTATATACCCACCTCTCTGGGCGTCAGCCTATTAGCAAGACTTTTCCCCCATGTTTCAGTTTACAGCTATCTCCATAAAAACCATCTAATTACTTAAGTGTTTATTACCTAAGACACACTCCTCACCTCATAAAAAGGAGTTTGTTTTGTCGTCAGATTGGGACTCTCCACATTGGTTGTTTGTCACTGTTCGGGAATTTCATTTCAGTCTTCAAAGGCACCACGTGATTGCCTTCTCATCCCTACACGTCACTGATGACGGCCTGGTGTGCTGGGTGTCTTCCCAACACCCCCATGTTTTTGTCTTCTTTTCAGATGAAGAGAGAAGTTGGCTGTTTTATTGCTCTTCTACCAGCAACTGGAGATTCTAGGTGATCATTTTGGCTTTCTGGCTGAAAAAGCGATGAGATTTGTAGATTTCTTCTTCGTGGTTCCGGGAAGCTGAATTAAGATGATAGACGGAACCTACAGAGGAAGAGATTCTGGCTCTGTGTGAAGAAGCACTTTCTTACAGAGCTGTCACAGATCATTGTTCCTCCTTCACACGTGCTTTGAATGATGACTTGGCAGGGGCTCGGAGGTGGGAGTGGAGGCCTACGTGGGTGACCCTGATGAATGTCCTTTAACATTCTGTCCAACCATGTTATGAATTAAGATCATTTTTGCCTAAAGACTAGCCGTATTGAGCCATTTAGAAATCAGACGGTGTAGTATTTCCCAAAAGGATTTCCGCGAGCACCTGTTCCTAGGAGCACGGAAGGCTTCTCTGGTGAATAAGTCTGGGAAATACTGAGTGGCCCTCTCAGAGCCTTTACTATGCTAAGGTGCTCTGGGACTTTTCACTACAGAGATGGAGCATGTATGTTTCTCCCAACTGACTTGACCATGGAATCATTTTTGTACTTTAGTGATCATAGATTAGCTTTATAGTGTTCTATAGAACATATGTGGGGGAGATTCCAAAATACATCTAAATCACTAAAACCTTGATAACAAAATTCTTTAATTTGAAAGACATAAAACTTAGTATGATATTTTAGACTTTAAAATAGGACACATTTTAACTGGTAAATTTTTGGATAGATGATCATTTGAAAGTCAGTATTGTATGTGTTTTCTGACCCACCTTCAGATACAGTGGCACAGGCTCTAAACAAATCATTAAAAATCGCCCCATAGAGAGGAACCAGAAGTCATGCAAATCAACAAGATGATGGATCCAAAAGTGCTTAACATGGAGACTGCTTTCAGTGTAGTCACTCTCTTACGAGAATGTTTGTGGTTTCGGACCCCTGTGCTGGGCTGTAGCTTGTTGCTATCACCGCTTGGATAGACAGCTCCGTTCAGCCGACACGCGCCGGCTGGGCGCCTGCTGCAGGTCACGCAGGGTGCAGAAAAGCAGCCCTCGGTGCTCGTCCTGGAGGAGGTCGGAGAGGAGAAAAGAAGAGAAGTAAGCTGGCAAATGACACGCAGGGCTGTAGCTTCAGGTTTCCTAAGTAAGAAGTGGGAGTTTAGAGCTGGGGTCACTGCCTGGAAGATCTGGGGAGAACGCTATGACAAGGGAACATGTGTGTGGGTACTAAAGCTCCAACAGGAACTTCGCAGGCATAGGAAGGGGACGTCAGCAAGGGAAACAGAAGCAGATGGCCACGGGATGGCAGAAGGATTGGTTGGCGAAGGCACAGATTCTGAGTCTCTTGTAGGGAGGTGTGGGAGGAGAGTTATGAGAGACGACACTGGAAATGTGGGGAGGACTTTGACTGTGTTTAGTATTCCACACTCACAACTTGGAAATAACATCCGATGGGCAACGGGCATTAGTTAAAGGTGTTTGAATGCATATGGGCCGTGCCTGGGTTTGTATTTTAGAAGGATGACTGTAGCTTTGAATGGAGGACCATCATCATCATCGTCACTTACTAAGCATTAGGTCCTGTGCTGAGTGCCCCCCTCAAGCTGATGACGTGTGCAGCCTTACTGTCCCTGCCACGTTGCGGAGGCTGGCACCAGTGAGCCAGCGATGGAGCTGGTTCTTGAGGCGGAGCAGCTGGCTCCAGAGTCCACGCTCCTGGGCGCCGTGTGCCTCCCTCTCACTCTGGAAGGGTTGCTCTGGACCCGTCAGGTGTGTGTAAGATTGGTGAGAGGGATGGGCCCGGCTTATTGAAGACTTGGGGCCACAAGAGGGGGAGGTTTTAGAGCTCTCTTCTACTCTTCTGTAGAGTGGAGACACTCTGAAGGCAGGGGCAGTGGCGGGGTGCCTGGGGGTCCCACGGGAGTGACGAGGAGAGCCTGGCTCTGTCTTGGAGGGTATTGTGGTTGTGTAGGACTAGAGCAGAGGGGTCTATCTGGGATTTCTCATCCCATCATTCAGTTTTCTGGGGACCGCTATCTGGATGGCACTCTAATTTCCAAAATAAAACTAATATTCTTGTTTTTAAGATAATTGGAATATCCTAATTTATTTATTTTTTATCCTCACCTGAAGACATCCCTGCATTTATCTTCAGCTAGAGCAGGAGGGAGAGAGGGGAGAGAGAGAGAAACATCGACATGAGAGGGACACATCGAGTGGCTGCCACTCACACGACCCCAACCAGGGCCGGGAACAAACTGCAACCGAGGTACATGCCCTTAGTGGGAACCGAACCCAGGACTCTCTGGTCCAAAGGCCAATGTTCCAACCACTGAGCCAAATGGGCCAGGGCCCTAATCTTTTTTTTTAATCCTCACCCGAGGATATTTTTCTATTTATCTTTAGAGTGAGAGAGTGGGAGAGAGGGAGAGAGAGAGAAACATCTATGTGACAGGGACACATCGAGTGGTTGTCTCCCACACAACCCCAACCACAGCCAGGGACGAACTGCAACTGAGCTATATGCCTTTGACCAGAATTGAACCAGTGAGTCATTGGTCCATGGACCAACACACTCACCACTGAACGAAACTAGCCCGGGCTGGAATATCCTAATCTTATCCAGTAATAGCTAGCATTTATTGAATGTATGCAATGTACCAGGCATCGTGCTAAATATTCTATGCACCTCTTCTTTCTTATTTCTTACAACCTTATAAGATAAGGACTATTCTTCTGCCCACTTCTTAGACAGTGAGACAGAGAGTAATGGTATTAAATAACATCTGAAAGTCAGTTAGTGAATGATGGCTCATCTAATAGCAATACCTCACACTTATTAATATAGCTCAGTACTTCTGTGGAATTATATTTTATATACTTGTAAATTATGTTCATTCTTTCTTTTTCATGTGTTCGTTCATTTAGCAAAAATGCCAGAGCCATGCTGGGTGCTCAGCATGTAGACATAGGTAGGTCAGATAAGGTCCTCCCTGTCAAGGTGTTCATGCAAGCGGGGGAGACAGGAAAACAGTGAACGGATGAATACATAAGAACTGCAGACAGTGATAAGTGCCGGAACAGATAGAGTAAAGTGACAAAGTGTGACTGGGTAGTGCAGGGAGCACGTCTGCTCTGGTTGGGGGGGGGGGGGGAGGGGGGGCAGTCTGCCGAGTGGCCGGAGTCCAGTGGGAGAGATGCGGTGCAGTGGCAGAGGCGGCCACACAGGGAGGCAGGTGCCAGGCCGCGGAGGAATGTGCAGGTGGTTCTGCATTTAGCTTTTATTCGAAGGTCACCGAGAACCCCCTGGATGGTTTACGGCAGGGAGTGATAAGATCTGAGTTACGTTCCATGGAAAATGAACTGCACTGGGGCCAGGGTGGAAACGGGCACAACAAGTAAGTGGGTCAGATGAAGCGTGAACGGCGATGCCAGTGGTTGATGGACGGTGAGAGGTGGTAGAGTTCAGGAGGCATTTTTGTAAGTGGAGATGGTAGGTTGTGCTGATCGAGAGAGTAGTGGGAGAGAGGGAGAGAGAGAGAAACATCTATGTGACAGGGACACATCGAGTGGTTGTCTCCCACACAACCCCAACCACAGCCAGGTCCCAGCTTTATTCATAGGTGAGAGGGGACCTGAGCCCCAAAGCTTCCATGTAGGGTCGTAGGGAAAGGGTCAAAGATGAGCTCAGGGTAGGACCTGGGGAGAGGGAGCAGGGCTGAAGATCTGCGACGCCCCAATACACACATAAAGATGTGGTTACTGCTCAGTTCCGGGCTGAGAGAAAAGGTCACTTTTATGTGTGTTAGTCACAGTTTGTTGTGATCCTCCGTGTGACTTACCTACATCCGTCTCCCCACAACTCGGTGGATTTCCGGGCTGCTGTCGAGAAGCCTCCCGTGACGGCCTCCCGTGTCAGCAGTGCTCACAGGTTTCACACTTCAAGGCCACTCGGTCTCCCGGAGCTTGATGGAGTGCTCCCTCCCTTCACAAACGCAGGGTATCGGGACCTTTGCAATGTGTCATCCTCATAAAAATGCCTGTAAGTAACAAACGTGGTCTTTACTTCCCGAATCGCGCGATCTTTGACATTTCTGGTCAGCTCCTTTATAGTACAGATCGGCAGAAAGAAGGCCTGGTGTCGGGACTGCCATCGCCACCACCCTTCCATTGCAGAAAGTCCACTTTGCTGAGTGTGCAGGCAGGGGATCCTGGGCTTGGGTGAATGGCAGACTTTGGGGCCCCTTTGCCGTTGCATCAGGACGTTTTCTCCAGTGTGTGGTCATCGTCAAGACCGACACAGCTCTTGCCGGTGTGTTAGCCGGCACTGAGAATTGCTCTCAGATTGGATTTCTTTCCAACCAAGGTCATGCTGTTTTGAGCACAGCTGATGTTGGCTAGGGCTGTGTAGGCATATATAACCTAAAAGGGGTGCCCTGTGTCGCTGGGACAGGCATGTTCCCATTCCAGCGGCCAGAGGGGGTGTCACAGCACCTAGTCACGTGGCACAAGCATCTCAGCCTGCGTCTGCTGGCTGGAAGTGTCGCCTGTTTTCCTGGGGCCCCCGAGCTCTCAGTCTAACCCTC